GGAGGTCCTTTACCGCGGGTACACGAGGTCCTTTACTACGGGTACACGTGGTCCTTTACCGACGGGTACACGTGGTCCTTTACGACGGGTACACGAGGTCCTTACTGACGGGTACACGAGGTCCTTACTGACGGGTACACGAGGTCCTTTACCGACGGGTACACGGGTCCTTTACTGACGGGTACACGTGGTCCTTTACTGACGGGTACACGAGGTCCTTTACTGACGGGTACACGAGGTCCTTTACCGACGGGTACACATGGCTCTGAGATCATTATTTGTTAAAGACAAGAAAACAAGAAAACATTCAAATATTGATCATAATTTGGAAAATGATTCGGTCAAAAATATCAGATGAAAATGAATTAAATATTATTTTATAATTTAGATTTTTAAATAATACACTTGACTCTTTAAAAAACATCTATATTTGCATTTACTTAATTTAACAGTTTTATTTCAGCTAGTCTCTGTATGTACTCTGAGCTTCACTCTCATGATGACAGAAACCTGAGCTCGAGGAGGAAGAGGAGGAGGAGGAAGAGGATATTTCAGGGTTTGAGCCGCTGAGCTTTTTATAGTGAGCTTTTTAAAGAGTGTTTCATTATAGCGTCTGAATGTGGTTTTCTACGTATTTTGCATTTACTTAACTCAAAAGTTTTAATTATGTGAATTACAAATATTACATTGTACTTTTAAAGATACTTTCGTCTTTTTAAATCTGACGTAATTTATTTATTACTGATCTGTTTTTTGTGCTGCTTCTGGCGTCCGCAGGAGACAACAGGTCATAGCTTTACTTTGTTGTATTCTGGATTTGTAAAATTGAATTCATCTTCTGGTTCTTTGTTTTGGCCCTTAAAACAGGAACTCTGCACGCTCATTTCATTACACTCGCTTTTTATTAAAGGTCCCCTATCATCCTCTTCCTCATCAATATATCACAGGTCTCAGATATATCCAGAGCCTGTCTCTGATTTGCCTGAAACACCAAACAGATCACTTGACTTCCTTCTGGAGTTATCATGTCCTTCTCTCAGGTGGAGAGACACATTCTGACTGGATATCAGACACATATATCAGACGCAGATATCAGACGCAGATATCAGACACATATATCAGACGCAGATATCAGACACATATATCAGACGCAGATATCAGACACAGATATCAGACACAGATATCAGACACATATATCAGACACAGATATCAGACACAGATATCAGACGCAGATATCAGACACATATATCAGACGCAGATATCAGAACACATATATCAGACGCAGATATCAGACACATATATCAGACGCAGATATCAGACGCAGATATCAGACACAGATATCAGACACACAGATATCAGACACAGATATCAGACACAGATATCAGACACATATATCAGACACAGATATCAGACGCAGATATCAGACACAGATATCAGACGCAGATATCAGACACATATATCAGACGCAGATATCAGACACATATATCAGACGCAGATATCAGACACATATATCAGACGCAGATATCAGACGCAGATATCAGACGCAGATATCAGACACATATATCAGACACACAGATATCAGACACAGATATCAGACACAGATATCAGACACACATATATCAGACACAGATATCAGACGCAGATATCAGACACACATATATCAGACACAGATATCAGACGCAGATATCAGACACAGATATCAGACGCAGATATCAGACACATATATCAGACGCAGATATCAGACGCAGATATCAGACACAGATATCAGACGCAGATATCAGACGCAGATATCAGACGCAGATATCAGACGCAGATATCAGACGCAGATATCAGACGCAGATATCAGACGCATATATCAGACGCAGATATCAGACACATATATCAGACGCAGATATCAGACGCAGATATCAGACGCAGATATCAGACGCAGATATCAGACACAGATATCAGACACAGATATCAGACACAGATATCAGACACAGATATCAGACGCAGATATCAGACGCAGATATCAGACGCAGATATCAGACGCAGATATCAGACGCAGATATCAGACACATATATCAGACGCAGATATCAGACACAGATATCAGACACAGATATCAGACGCAGATATCAGACGCAGATATCAGACACATATATCAGACGCAGATATCAGACGCAGATATCAGACGCAGATATCAGACACAGATATCAGACGCAGATATCAGACACAGATACTGGACAAGATTCAGAGTGTTTGTCGTGTACTTTTCCGTTTGTTCCTCCTCGCCGCCTCCAGACGTTTTTTGTTGTTAAATCAGCTTTTAATTGAATAAAAGCCTTCTGTTTGTTCTGCTTTGCGTCCGCTCTCCAGAAGCGCTCTGTGTCGCGTGAGATTCAGATTCATGTGTTTGATTGCATGAAACGAGTAGATAAAGACACTGTTAGCTGTTAGCCTGTTAGCTGTTAGCTGTTAGCTGTTAGCTGGTTATCTTTAGACGATATAGATAATCTTAGCTCGAGCGCTGTAGTAAAATTATTCCAGTCGTTTTTTTTTTAGACTATTTTCGCACTATTTTTATATTTAAAAGTTGTAAAAAATGTATGTTTTTAAAATGTTTTGTTGTCCGATGTTTTATCTCTCAGTTTAGCGTGGATGGTGTTTGTTCGTCAGTTGTACGATCTCTGAAGTATAAATTCATTCTACATCAACTCTTTATGAATATTGTAAGAGCTTTGTTTGAACTCTGTACGAAACTCTGCTTTGAGTTAGCGTTCAAACGTTTTAAAACTTGCTAGCGTTTTTATAAAGTGTTCTGTTTAAAAGTGCTTCTGTTTCAATTAAATTCTCCTTTATTGAAATGTTTGTTTGCGTAGAATTGTCTCAGTAAAGTTTCACACAGGGGTCTGTACATCCTGTAAATGAGCTGAAGAATAAAGAGAAAGCCTTTGATGTCTGATATCTGTTTGATGTTCAGATGAAGATCAGAAACACCAGAGAGAAAGAGCGGGAACCAGAGATCCTAGACGCTCGTAGAACAGGAAGTGTTTGAAATGAGAATCAGAGGATGAAGTATTTCAAGCTTCGTGACGACATCAGTTTTATTTCAGTTAGTCTCTATATTTACTCTGAGCTTCACTTTTACTCTCATGATGACAGAAACCTGAGCTCAGCGAGGAAGAGGAGGAAGATGAAGCAGGATGAAGATATTTCAGGGTTTGAGCCACTGAGCTTTTTTATAGTGAGCTTTTTTAAAGAGTGTTTTTATTATAGCGTCTGAATGCGGCTCCGTCACGTAGGACGCTTCAGTTCTAGCATCGTATTTTAGATTCTGATGAGACGATATATTTTTAAACTCAAACATCTCTAGTTGTTTGTCAGTAGTGAAACTCAATATTTTACCACGTCACAAATCATGTGAATACGTGTGTATTATAAGACGTTTGGGGATTTTAAAACGCATTTCGTAGACACTGTTAGGACCATTTGTTTACATTTTTTCACATATTTGTTTAAAAAATGTCACTTTCTTTTTTCACACAGAATAAATCAAATCATTATTTTTTTAAGATTTCACTTTTTTATTTATTAAAATGTTTGGGAGGAGGGGCTTCCGGCTCATGTTGGCACCCAGGGTTCAGCCCTAATGCTTTGGGCATACGGGTGCGACGTCAGTTAGCAGTTCTCCAGGATGGGTTGGGTTGAGAGTGAGCCACCGAAGAACTTAGTGGACGATGTACATGGCTTTCGTCATCGCCTGTATGTAGCGGTGGAAATGGCAAGGACAAATGTAGCTGGTGCTCTGCAGCTACTTCAAGCCTCTCTGTCTCTCTCTGCTCCTCTCTGCTCCTCTCTGCTCCTCTCTGCTGCTCTCCTCTCTGCTCCCCTCTGCTCCTCTCTGCTCCTCTCTGCTCCTCTCTGCTCCCCTCTGCTCCTCTCTGCTCCTCTCTGCTCCCCTCTGCTCCTCTCTGCTCCTCTCTGCTCCCCTCTGCTCCTCTCTATCTCTCTCTGCTCCTCTCTGTCTCTCTCTGCTTTCTCCTACAGCCACCCGGTTCTGTTGAGTATGCTGTTTGACACCCTCACAGATACACGTCCATGCAACCCTCACCCTGCATTTACACTACTGATACCACTGACGTCCACAACCTCATGCTTTACCTAAATTAATTTGGTTGAATAAACATCTTTTGTTAACCTTTGATATGGTGTGTCTCCTCTTTGTTGTGGCCTTTTGAGACAGTTTTTGTTTTTCACATATTTGAACAAATTGTATTTTTTTTCTTTACCAATTGTTTACACATTTCCCACAGAATCTATTTTTCGTCAAATTCAATTGCAAATGTGTTAATGTAAAAAAAAATTTAAATTCAACAAATTTTCTCACATTTTTCATAAATCTTCTAATTTTCTATTCACACATTTTCCACATTTTTCCCAAAAATGTTAAGAAAATACTCCAGAAAATATACTCAAATTTTACAGAAACATTGTTTTTCATAGACATTTATTACATATTTCTCAATATATTCACACATTTTTCAAAAAGGTTTTCATGAATTGTCTACCCATATTACACATTTTGTTCATACTTCTCACATTTCTTATTAAACATTCCCTACGATTTTTTAAACATACTGTATATTCACATATTTTTCAATTTAAAAAAATCTTATATATCATTTATTTTCTCATTTTTTCTCACATTTTTTCTTACAACTTTTTCCCTGTTTTTTTTACATTTGCTTCTCCAAGTCTTTTCCACATTTCCTCTCATCAGCCCCACATTCCCCACTCTGATTGGCTGCCCTCAGATGGCTCTCCACTAACGGGGGCCCCCGGTGTCTCTCCCCGGTTTGGAGCCTCTAAAAATACCCGGTGTGTCACGGTGGCCCCGGAGCCCTCCCCGTAAGCCCCGCCCCCTTTCGGCCAGCAGCCAATCAGCGGCAGCCTGTGGATCTATATGGTCACGGAGGGGGAGATTCCTGGGAGTCCAGCGCAGTGACGAAGAGCTGTTTAAACCTCCAGGACCAGGACCCTCACCCTCCCTCTGTAGCCGCCGAGGAGCGTCTTTTCCCGGACTCAGCTGCGCGTCGCTCCGGAGGAAATAACTCTCTTTTCCCCGGAGAAACTTCACTCTATCAGCCCGGATCTGGAGGATCTCAGAGTGGATCTAGAGTTTCTGTCAGAGGTCTGAGAGGAGGGGATGGATTAATACTTTCATCTACAGCTGATTCTACAGGTAACATATGAACTCAAACTAACTCATGCTTTCAGATTTTAGACTAACGTTGCCTTTGTGTCAGTGTGTCTCAATCAGGTTGATCACCAAGTTCACACATCATCTGGTGCATACTGTACATAACCGAGTTAAAGGAGATTCAAAGTGAGAAAAAACAACCAAAACATGATTCAAATAAATGATAAAAAGCTATTTAGCATTCTGCATGCCTTCAGATTTTAGACTAACGTTGTTTTTGTGTCTGGATCAGAATCAGGTTGATCAGCAAGTTCACACATGAATCTGGTTCACACATAAAACAGTTAAAGGAGATTATAAGTAAGAAAAACAACCAAACAAATGATAAAAAGCTATTTAGCATTACAAAGGAATAAAGACAAGAATTTACACCAAATGTAAATATACAAAAAGGACTAACGTTAAGATATGAAACCTGGATCTCCCAGTGCAGTATATATGAAAGTACAGTCTGTGTAGTATGACTGAGCCATGTCCAGCTCTCTGGAGATATGACACATCTCTTCCACTTAAAACACATTTCTTTTGTATATTTACATTTGGTGTAAATACTTCGTCTTTTTCTTTTAATGTTAAATAGTTTATACAAATATTTCATTAACATGTTGAGCTTTCCCTTCCAGCGGCTGTCCTGATGTTGTTCAGGTTTTGTCTGAACCCTCTCACTCCTCTTATAAACCACATCAGCACCACAGTATCATGTCTTTAGAGAAACCTGCTGTTTCTGTCTGCTCCAGCAGAACCAGAGCAGAGTCCACGAGTCAGAACCAGAGCAGAGTCCACGAGTCAGAACCAGAGCAGAGTCCACGAGTCAGAACCAGAGCAGAGTCCACGAGTCAGAACCAGAGCAGAGTCCACGAGTCAGAACCAGAGCAGAGTCCACGAGTCAGAACCAGAGCAGAGTCCACGATCAGAACAGAGCGAGTCAGAACCAGACCAGAGTCCACGAGTCAGAACCAGAGCAGAGTCCACGAGTCAGAACCAGAGCAGGGTCCACGAGTCAGAACCAGAGCAGGGTCCACGAGTCAGAACCAGAGCAGAGTCCACGAGTCAGAACCAGAGCAGAGTCCACGAGTCAGAACCAGAGCAGAGTCCACGAGTCAGAACCAGAGCAGAGTCCACGAGTCAGAACCAGAGCAGAGTCCGAGTCAGAACCAGAGCAGAGTCCACGAGTCAGAACCAGACCAGGGGCCACGAGTCAGAACCAGAGCAGAGTCCACGAGTCAGAACCAGAGCAGAGTCCACGAGTCAGAACCAGAGCAGAGTCCACGAGTCAGAACCAGAACCAGAGCAGAGTCCACGAGTCAGAACCAGAGCAGAGTCCACGAGTCAGAACCAGAGCAGAGTCCACGAGTCAGAACCAGAGCAGAGTCCACGAGTCAGAACCAGAGCAGGGTCCACGAGTCAGAACCAGAGAGGTCCACGAGTCAGAACCAGAGCAGAGTCCACGAGTCAAGAACCAGAGCAGAGTCCACGAGACAGAACCAGAGCAGAGTCCACGAGTCAGAACCAGAGCAGAGTCCACGAGTCAGAACCAGAGCAGAGTCCACGAGTCAGAACCAGAGCAGAGTCCACGAGTCAGAACCAGAGCAGAGTCCACGAGTCAGAACCAGAGCAGAGTCCACGAGTCAGAACCAGAACCAGAGCAGAGTCCACGAGTCAGAACAGAGCAGAGTCACGAGTCAGAACCAGAGCAGAGTCCACGAGGTCAGAACCAGAGCAGAGTCCACGAGTCAGAACCAGAGCAGAGTCCACGAGTCAGAACCAGAACCAGAGCAGAGTCCACGAGTCAGAACCAGAGCAGAGTCCACGAGTCAGAACCAGAGCAGAGTCCACGAGTCAGAACCAGAGATCAACTCCATCCTGATTCTGATTCTCTGATTTGTCTCCCCTCCCCATCCAGCACGTCCTCACCATTTGAACCCTATTCATTATCAGTGTACTGATCACACATCTTCTGTTTCTAACAACCTCAGACGGGTTTATAGAGTAATGAAGCAACATGTGAGGTTTGCACCTTGTTTGAGAAAAAAATCTCTTACAGGTTTTTTAAGAAAGTTTCTTTAACTAATCATCCTCTCAATCTCTCCTCTCCTCTCCTCTCCTCTCCTCTCCTCCCCTCTCCTCTCCTCTCCTCCCCTCTCCTCCCCCTCTCCTCTCCTCTCCTCTCCTCTCCTCTCCTCCCCTCTCCTCCCCTCTCCTCTCCTCTCCCTCTCCTCTCCTCCTCCTCTCCTCTCCTCTCCTCTCTCCTCCCAGTCCAGCAGGGGCTCATGACTCTGGATTAACTGTCAGGAGGTAACGCTCCTGAGGTAACGCTCCTGGTCTCTCTCTCAGGAGGTAACGCTCCTGGTCTCTCTCTCTGGAGGTAACGCTCCTGGTCTCTCTCTCAGGAGGTAACGCTCCTGGTCTCTCTCTCAGGAGGTAACGCTCCTGAGGTAACGCTCCTGGTCTCTCTCTCTGGAGGTAACGCTCCTGGTCTCTCTCTCAGGAGGTAACGCTCCTGGTCTCTCTCTCAGGAGGTAACGCTCCTGGTCTCTCTCTCAGGAGGTAACGCTCCTGGTCTCTCTCTCAGGAGGTAACGCTCCTGAGGTAACGCTCCTGGTCTCTCTCTCAGGAGGTAACGCTCCTGGTCTCTCTCAGGAGGTAATGCTCCTGGTCTCTCTCTCAGGAGGTAACGCTCCTGAGGTAACGCTCCTGGTCTCTCTCTCAGGAGATAACGCTCCTGGTCTCTCTCAGGAGGTAACGCTCCTGGTCTCTCTCTCAGGAGGTAACGCTCCTGGTCTCTCTCTCAGGAGGTAACGCTCCTGGTCTCTCTCTCAGGAGGTAACGGGTTTCTCTCTCTGGAGGTAACGCTCCTGAGGTAACGCTCCTGGTCTCTCTCTCAGGAGGTAACGCTCCTGGTCTCTCTCTCAGGAGGTAACGCTCCTGGATTAACTCAAGGTAACGCTCCTGGATTAACTCGAGGTAACGTTCCTTCTCTCTCAGCACCATGATGGCTAACAGCGGCTTCCTGGAGCCTCCGCTGCCTCCCCAGTTCTTCCCTGACCTCACGGCGGAGGAGGAGGAGGATCTTCCGGCCACAGAGAAGGACCTGGCGGAGGACGCTCCCTGGAAGAAGATCCAGCAGAACACCTTCACGCGCTGGTGCAACGAGCACCTGAAGGTGGTCAACAAGAGGATGGTGGACCTGCAGAAGGACCTGACCGACGGCCTGAAGCTCATCGGCCTGCTGGAGGTCCTGAGCCAGAAGAAGATGTACAGGAAGTACCATCTGAGGCCCAACTTCAGACAGATGAAGCTGGAGAACGTGTCCGTGGCGCTGGAGTTCCTGGAGAGGGAGCACATCCGCCTGGTGTCCATCGGTGAGTCCCTCTTAATAAACTCCTAGCCTAAGAGAGTCCTTATAAACCCTGAGAAGAGTCTGCAGGCTCTTCACTTTGAGGTCTGGCAGCTTTAAACATCTGGTTATCCTTTCATCTCCTCTGAGGGGTTTCTACCTTTGGGACATCTACACTTAAACTCAATTAAGCCCTGAAACAAGTTTGGGAAGTGTGTTAGGAAGCAGGAAGTGTGTTAGGAAGCAGGAAGTGTGTTAGGAAGCAGGAAGTGTGTTAGGAAGCAATAAGTGTTGTTAGGAAGTAGGAAGTGGTGTTAGGAAGCAGGAAGTGTGTTAGGAAGTAGGAAGTGTGTTAGGAAGCAGGAAGTGGTGTTAGGAAGCAGGAAGTGTGTTAGGAAGCAGGAAGTGTGTTAGGAAGCAGGAAGTGTTGTTAGGAAGTAGGAAGTGTTGTTAGGAAGCAGGAAGTGTTGTTAGGAAGTAGGAAGTGTTGTTAGGAAGTAGGAAGTGTTGTTAGGAAGCAGGAAGTGTTGTTAGTTGTAGTTTTCTGCAGGAAATGGAACAGAAGTTGCAGCGTTTCTGAAGCTCTACAGAAACAGCATGTTGTGAGTGTGGAGGGACTGGGAGGCCTTTGTTGGGGGGGGTGGTCTCTATATGTGTGTGTGTGTGTGTGTGTGTGTGTGTGTGTGTGTGTGTGTGGTGTGTGTGTGTGTGTGTGTGTGTGTGTGTGTGTGTGTGTGTGTGTGTGTGTGTGTGTGTGTGTGTGTGTGTGTGTGTGTGTGTGTGTGTGTGGTGCTGATTGATGGCTGGACAGCTGTCTCTGCGGAGCCTCACACAGACAGCTGCTGGAAATAGACTGAGAGCAGAGAGAGACTCTGAACTCACTCAGGAAATACTCATGTTATATTACAGATCCTTTTATTCTGGAGGTTAGCCATCTGTTGTCGACTGTTTGCGTTGTTATTTGATCCAAAATACCTTTTTTGATCTCCTTCTAGCCCAGAAACGTAAATTCATAGAAACATTGACACGTTAGATTCCCGTTAAACTGGTTCAGCTCAGTTCACTGAAACCTGTTCACAGGCAATAGAAATGTTATATTAACGCTGCCTGGGCTTTTATTCTGGAGGGTTAGCCATCTGTTGTTGTCTGTTGGCATGATGATGATCTCCAAGCGTCTCGCTCTCATCGAGGCTCAGAATCTGACATTTATTCGACCGTTTCGTCTCATTTTGCAGATTAACTCTATTACTATTATTAAGTTATTACGCACGTGCATTATGCAGACGTGCACAGAGTCACTCTGCAGCTTCATGCACTGTAGAAAGCTATTGTTTACTGTAGATATATTTACTACAGTTTGCTGTTCAGTCCTTGTTGGTCGTGTCGCTCATGTTTGGAGATTTCTTAGTCACTTTCTGCAGCTTTAGTTTAACCCTGAACTCCTCCACCCAACCCAGTCTCACGGCATTTCGTGTTATAGTCACGAAATTAATTTAATCTATTGATTCGTGTTCACCAACACGATTTTCACCTTTTTTTCGTGTCACACAGAACGATTTTAAATGCAATGTATTTCTATTGGTAGTATGTTTCGTGCCTGCAACACGTCTTTTTGTCCGGTCGGGTCTTGGAAGACCAGAAGCTGTGTGGTTCATAAAAACATGTTCTTACTCAATATCTTACCCTAAGCCTAACCCTATCCCTTTTATTTTAAATTGTATAATGTCTGAGTTTTGTTGCCGTCAGTGAGGAAAAGAAATGTCTCAGAGCCTCAGAATACTGACATCTGTATTTTATGTCATCTTTGTTTCCTTCTAATTTGTTATTATTTACATTGCTTTTAAAATCGTTCTGTGTGACACGAAAAAAATGGGAAAATGGTGTTGGTGAACACGAATCAATAGATTAATTTCGTGACTATAACACGAAATGCCGTGAGACTGTGTTGCTCCACCGGTGGATTCTATTAGTGAGCGATGATATTTACAGACATTTGGGTCCCGGACAGAGATGTCAACACACAGGTCCAAAACATGAGTCTACACTAACACTCTAAATCCTGCCCAGTATGTGTCTAACATCCAGTCAGAATATGTCTCTCCACCTGATAGAAGACACAATGACTTCAGAAGTAACACTGCAGTGAGATAGAGGCTCTTGTTTTTAGACAATGCTTCATCTTGAAAACAGAAAACGTTTGAGCATTTGAGGCTTAAACACAACATCTCCTGATTCTGGTGAAAAATAGTTCAAAATGAGTTCTGCTGATAATTACAAGATGAGATTGATCTAAATATCCCATCTTATCTCAAGGAATCTTACAAAGCAAATGTTCACTTGTTCTATTGGCAGATTTTGTACTTATTTCAAATGAAGACACCTCGTTTTCATTCTTTTTTTTACTTGTTTTTGGAGCAGCATTTTTTCCAGTGTGGAGACAAGCTGCTAGCTGTTAGCTATTAGCTGCTAGCTGTTAGCTGTTAGCTGGTATTAGATGTTAGCTGTTAGCTGTTTGCTGTTAGCTGTTAGCTGTTAGCTGGTATTAGATGTTAGCTGGTAGCTGTTAGCTGGTATTAGATGTTAGCTGGTAGCTGATAGCTGGTAGCTGTTAGCTGGTATTAGATGTTAGCTGGTAGCTGATAGCTGGTAGCTGTTAGCTGGTATTAGATGTTAGCTGGTAGCTGGTAGCTGTTAGCTGTTAGCTGCTAGCTGTTAGCTGTTAGCTGGTATTATATGTTAGCTGTTAGCTGCTAGCTCCTAGCTGTTAGCTGGTATTAGATGTTAGCTGGTAGCTGGTAGCTGTTAGCTGTTAGCTGCAGATCATTGATTGTCCCATAGGCTTTAAATGATGGTGTGTTCATGCTCCGTTCAGTAAACCTGAATGATTGAGACGTCTCCACAGAAGCACTGATATGCAGATGTAGAGAATGATGAGCTGTTTCCTCCCTGTCAGAAACCAGTATGCTAACCCTCACATAGCAGAGTACAAACTGGAGCTCATGGAGTTTACTGGGTGGTTTTATAGTTCTGAACTGGTGTGGGGGCAGTTTCCCTGCTGTTAGCATGTTAGCATGATAGCATCTCCTCCTAAACCTCCCGTGTCCTCACATCTTCTGAGTCTCAGTGAAATGTGAATAAAACAGATCAGCTCTGCAGCTCTGAATGTGTCCCCCCCCCCCCCTAATGCTTTCCATGTGTTAGCAGTCAGCGCGCAGGAATGAAGCCCCCCCCCCCTCTCACACACACACACACACACACACACACACACACACACACACACACACACACACACACACACACAGACACACATACACACACACACACACACACACACACACACACACACACACACACACACACACACACACACACACACACACACACAGACACACACACACACACACACACACACACACACACACACACACACACACACACACACACACACACACACACACACACACCACACACACACACACACACACACACACACACACACACACACTCACACACACACACACACACACACACACACTCGGGTCACCAAACTAACATTTCCCTTCTTTAAGTGCTCCAGGAGAGTAGAAACAAACAAACAAAAGCAACTTAGACCTGAAACACACGACTACACACCCGTATTATTATGGAGTACAAAGTCATAATAATAATAATATAAGCAGCGTGCGCGCAGAGGATGAACCTTTCAGAATAAAGCTATTGATTGTCATCGCTCGATAGCAAACAGCAGGTATAGCTGTTTTCAAAATGCTGCCGCGGACTCATTTCTTAAGTTAAAGTGAACTCTCTGTCATCGTATGAAACCACAGATCCTATTGAATCCATTGGTACCACTTATGTCTCGATGTCCTGTCGGGAAGTGCACTTAAAGACGTCTCAAAGTCCTTTAGGTTTCAAAGTGAGGC